ATATTTATTTATAAAATATCTTTGACGGACGAGGGCTAGTGGGTGGCCACTAGGTGACTGAGTACCTAACATTAGGCATTTAATAGCCTAACATTAATTTTTTTTTAAAAAAAATTACATAATTAGTTTTATGTATTTAATATATCTAATCAAATTAAAATAAGTAACTTGTAAACTATATAAACTGTTACAAGTACTAATAATAAAATAAAAATTTATTATATAATAAATAATGTACAAAAATTTTATATATTCATTTATATATTATTTTGATTAGACACCTTGAGTATATAAAGTGAATTATACAATGATTAAAATTTAATGTACATAGATAAAAATACTTCAATAAATAAGAGTATTATGGAAGAGAAAACTTTAATATAAGGAAAAAAAAATGATTTTTCTTTAGAATCAAATCAAAATGGTCACATGATTTTACTATTAAATTAACCAGCTGGTACACTTGAATTGAAACATAATGTTAGGGACCCTGACTAAACATGCTAATCCTAATTTTTTTTTTCTTTTGGAAGTCAACATGCTAATCCTAACGTAACACGCCAAAGCGATGTGGAAATTGCAATATTATAGTGTTAAAAAAAAAAAGGAGAAATAAAGGGGCCAAAAAAGCGAAAGAAACTTAACGTGCCAAATTCTCGAAAAGTGGTTGCCAGATTTGACAGTTGACCTGATCCATAGGAATTAGAATCTGACCCCGTCACAAAACAAAAAAACATAAATGCATCATTACATTATCTCTTTATCCTTGTCTTTGTCATGAGCTATTTCAAAACTTTATATATATAAATTAAAAACCTTCAAGTATTTTAATTATACCACTATTTATTTTTTTTCTTTACAAAAAAATATAAAACCTTGGTTCTAATCACAAGACTATTATTAAAATTTTAGAGTTAAAAAAGAAATCTAATTTTAATATTTTGATACACCACCTCATAAAATAGATCGACTTTATTTTTTTAGAAGCATGGAGAGCAATTTCTTTGTCATTTTATGATATTTCCCTTCTGACCCTTTTTTTTGGGCCGGAATATTTCCTCTCCGACTGCTATCATGTGACCCTTCTCACTTGTATTCATTGCGATGTCTCATGTCATTTGCACACAAGAAGTCTCCTAATTTGATTCTTCTTTGTAAGTTGATAGCAAAACAATAGTAGGATTTTTTTTTTTAAATATACTCCCTCCAAAATATAATATAAGATGTTGATAACTGTTCTATGATTATTCAAAAACAAATAAAATTTTAATTTTTAAGAAAATTATATATCTTTTTAATTAGACTCTCACTAAACAGACTATAAATTAAGAAAAGTTGTTTATACAAATATTTATTTGTCCAAAAACATCCAAGTATTTTTTATTATACTTCTATTGATTTTTATTCTTTATGAAATAAATTATAAAACTTTAGCTCGAGTCAGATGATTGTTAAAATTCCAAAAATAAAAAAGAAAATTATTTTGATATAACACCTAATAATTAAAATCCAATAATTCGAACCAACTCCAACAAGTCAACTTGAACAAAGTTAAAAAAATTAAGATCGAATTTGATTATATAAATATTTAAAAAAGTAGAATATTTTTAAACTTAATTTGAATAAGCTCGAGTTGAATTGAGTCCTACTAGAATAAGCTTGACTGTTGAAATTACTGACTCTATATATATGTAAAGTTAATAATTTAGGTTAAGTCCGACAGATCAACCTAAACCCATCTAAAAAAAAGTTAGATTGAAGTTCACTATATGAATTTTTTAAAAGGTAAAATACCTTAAGTTTAATTTAAATAAGTCGGACCTGTCCAAGTTAATGACTCTACTAATAATTATAAAATATACTTAACTTTATTTTTTAAAAAAATGACGTGTGAGTTGTAATGTAACTTTGACCTTTTATGATATTTTCTCTGGCCGCTGCCCCCTGACCATCCTCACTTCTGTTTATTGGACTCCGGTCTCATGCCAATTACCCAGAAGTCTCCTAATTTGACTCTTCTTTGTAAATTGATAGCAAAATAATAGGAGAATTTTTTTTAATATACTCTCTCTAGTCTTAATAATGATAATTGAAAACTTCAATACATTATTATTTTTTTAAAAATAATAAATAAAGTAAGAGTATAATTAAAAATATAATTATAAAAATTACTGGATATCTTATATTTTGAATCAAATAAAACTTAAAAAAATATCTTATATTATGATTAGAAAAGAGTAAAATAAAAAGTTCTAAGTGGTTAGGTCCTGTGACCCATGCCACGTTGATAATAGGACGACATTATATTACTTGGATTGGTCGTGAAAGTTTCCCTTGATTGGCCTCACTGGAATCCAATATATATATATATATATATATATATATATATAATTAGATTAAATTCAAGTATTGCCAATTTAATAGAAAGTAGCTATTCCAAAAACGTTTTTGTATTTATATGGACTCAAATTTAAATTCAAATCCAAATTAATTAATAATATTGGATATTGGGTTGGTTTGTTATGAAAAAAATGGTTTCATTCAAAAAAAAGTAAAAATAAATTAATGTTCATATTTAAGCTAACAACTAGTAATTTTGGCCAAAGGAAGGTGTCAATTTATGTGTTTACATAAATAACCAATGATTATACTTTTGGAAGCAACACTGCAACACCAATTCAGCCATTGACTAAAACTGATTAATTCAACACAGAAAAATCCTACTTGGATTTGTATTTTGGAAAGCTTAAATTAAAGTTGGACTCTTCCAAAAATTTCTCCACAAAGAATTAGACAATGCACGTTTTCATGAAGAAAGGAAGAACACTTGGACTGGACAAGCTTCGAGTTTCCAAGCAATTCAATTTGACAATGACATATTCATCATTTTTTTTTAAAAAAAAAATGTCACGTTTTTGTCCTTAACTATTATCTAAACACACGAGAAGTTTGAACAAGGTGACATTAAGAGTTAAGAATTAAGAATACAAGTTAGGCCATACTTTCTCCCAACTATAATATAAATCATTTTTTAAAAAATTTTGTTTAGTTTAAAATATAAGACATTGGATAAGTATTATATATATTTATATATTTTAATAACACCCTTACTTTATTAATTAATTAATAATAATATTTTGAATAAGTTAAATATTATATTTATTGCACTTAGCGAAAATTTTTTTAAAATCAAGATTTTAAATAATTTTTTAAAAATGTGTATGTGAGTTAGTTAACAATAATTTATATTATAGTTTGAAGGGAATACCTAGTTAACTATCAGACAGAGGTTTTATTGGCCTAAACTGAGATTTGAAATTTAAAGAGTACGGTTGGATTTAAATTTTTAAGTTTATAAAAATTCAGATTAAAATTGGACGGCCTAGAAATTTCTTCTTCTTCTTCTTCTTCTTCTTCTGTATTGATAATCTTCTGTATTGATAAAACGCACAGATTGATTAGCATGAAGTTGCATTCCTAAAAAGAGTGGGCCAGGCTGTACTTCAATTTGAAATGATATATTATATAGACTTATCTCAAAGTGTTCTGTAATTAAATATTACTTCTCTTGTCTCAAATTATAAAATAATTTTTTAAACAAAATTACATATATTAATAAAGTTTATTAAATATATTTTATAATTTTATTTTTTAAAATAAAAATATAAATTTTTAAAAATATAATTTTATTTTTTTAATATTCCATTTACGAAAGAATATAAAAGAAAGAAAATATGTATGAATGGTAATATTTAAAAAATATTATTAATAAAATTTTTATTGTTCAAAGGAATTTCTATCTCAGCCTTTCCTCCATTTTCCATTGTTCAAAGCTCTCTAGTCTGGTTCTATTGGTCTCAAAGTTGAGAATTGGGACGCAACTGACTCTCTACAGGCCATTAATGGCTTTCTCAAATTGCTTATTGACAAGCAATAAAATGAAATGATAATAAAGACCATAATCATCATCAACTCTATTTGGTAGATCAGTAACTCATCTTTACACATGGGAAGAAATTGGGTATCATGCAGGCTATAACGAAAATTCGTCAAGATTACCTCTTTCTCCAAAATAAATGTGCCTAGAATAGGAAATCCTTTGATGTGTGTTCAAGCAAATCTGTGAATATTTTTCCTTTAAGCACCCGATTCGTCCATAAAAATACCTCCTCGTACACTTTCCTTCATCAATTGGATTTATCATGCCAGAAGAAGAGTAAAAGAGACAGACCTGAGATTCAAATTAGTGTGTTGCTCAAATAAAAAAGTAGTCATAGCCTTAACTTAGAAAAAGCAACGGAGCTTACTAAATTCATCTTTTGCTTTAGATTGCTTTCGTTCTAGCTTTGATACCAGTCGAAGCTTATGTTTCACACAAATGAGAAATTGGTAGCTTCGCTGATTATTAATCAAGATATTACTCAATTATTAACTTTTTTTCTTTCCTTTAGTCAAGATGATTGTAGTGAATAGCTTTTAAACTTTTAATGACATGTGTTCTATCTTTAAAACTTTCAGAAGTTAACTTTTTAAGTTAACTCTATTCTCTTACTTCTTTTTTTCCTTTAGTTTGATTTCATTTGTATTGATATGACTTTGCTTTTAATAAAAAAGGATTATATTTTAATTTATTAATTATCCATTAATAAAAGCCATGATTTTTTTTTGAAGAGTAATAAATTATATGCTCATGTTATTTTTAGTATGCTTAGTTTACATAATAATAATAATTAATAAATTAATAAGATTTGTCATGGGACATACTTTTTTTAATACGCTTAATTCACTTTTGACTTTGATTTTTTGTTTTTAATTTCTTTCTCATGACTGCTTGCATTTACACAAAGTAATTGACCGGGGTCAATTCCGAGGAATCATTACGCACGAACAAGTCTGATTAATTCAACAAACCCCTCCATCGCTGACCGAGTCAAAGTTTTAACTCATATATATAACTGAGTGCGTTTGAGCCAAATCATAGCAAGTCATTCATTCGTTCATTCCCTGAATCCAGAGACCAGAAAAAGTGATTTGAGTGGTTTTGTTGTTTGATATTTTTGAGGAGGAAAAACCAGAAGAGGATCAGAATCTGATCATGTACGTGACTAGGCCTCTATCTTTTTACAAAAAATCTGCTGAATCTCTGTCCTTGGGTCCTCCTGAAGGACCCCATTCGGGGATTCTGGTGATTCAAGATGACGAAGTGAGACCATCTTGTTCTTCTTCGCCTTGTTTCGGAGAATTCCATCAGCTCAAGGTGCTCCCTTTTCCTCAGAATCGCAACATTGAGTTGTTTTACAGATCGGGGATTTCTCTGAGCAGAGCCACCCATTATCGCCACGTGGCCTTCATCCCAGTTCTTGACAAGCCATTGTCTTCCAATCTCTACTATGTCATTCAGCTAAATGAGAGGCATAGAGGGTAAGCTCCAATCTCCCAAAACCTATTTGATAAGATTTGATTCCATTCTGTTACCTACTGAGACGCCTATAAGTTTCTGTTCTGATTAAAATATCATCCTGATAATGTTTGAAAACAAAAGTCACACACAAACATAATTTATTTTTTGAAGTTCTATGTTTAAACTGAGTTTGGTTTCGCAGGGATGCATTTACCAGCATAGAAGAGGAAGACTTGGAGACCTTCTGTTTCTACAATTCTGTACCAGTTGAACCTCATTGCCAACTAGATATCAGTAACGAACACCAAGTGTTTGAGGTATTTCCCAGGAGAAGCAAGATTACTTTCAGGAAAGGTTTCTCAGCTAAGCCTGTTGCTCCGCACACATTTGCTCCAAAGTTTCTGAGTGCGAGGTGGAGAGTGAAAGTCAGTGATTCAGTTGATTCAAGTTTAGGAGAAGCAGCCGGAGTAGATAACGCCCTTCGTGCTCGCCTGCCGGAATTCAACTTCTCCATGGCAAACACAAATCCAGAAGCTGTTGTTGTGGGAAAATGGTACTGCCCCTTGATGTTCATCAAAGAAGGAACACACAGAACATTGAGAGATGAAATGAGAAGATCATTGTTCTATGAGATGACTCTACAACAAAGATGGGAACGAGTTTTTTCGCTCGAGAATGATCGTGGAACCGAAAACAGGACCGTCACTGTGGATGTTGTAGTTCAGAAGGAAAAGGTTGTAGTTGTAGAAAGGGAAGTTGAAACTGAAGAGATAGAAGTTGAAGGTGTGAAGTGGTTCAAGAGTTGTAATAACATTGGAGAAGAGAGCAGCGTAGGATTGAGTACGGCAATAATTGAAAGAATGAAATGGGAACAAGTAAGGTTGGGGTGGGTTGAAGGGAAAGAAAAGAAAGTTAGGATTCAGAAAACAGAAGAGTTCAAAGGGACAGGTAAGTGGAAGAGATTTGGATGTTATGTTCTTGTTGAAAGTTTTGTGCTTAAAAGATTGGATGGAAGCTTAGTACTTACCTATGATTTCAAGCACCACCATCAGGTTAGAAGTAAATGGGAATGAAGAAATGGATGATTTCTGTTTCTGACATTGTTGCAGACCGGACCAGCTTCACTTTCTTTCTTATTATCAAGTGTAGATTAACAAAAGAAGTTTTGAAGAAGGCCTAATGTTGTATACCACATGCATTCAGTTTTGTTTGTGCTGCTGTTGATGATGAAGTAACTCCGCCTATGTTTATAGCCGGTCCCAAGCCCGGGTAAAGGAGGAGGGTTGTGTTAGGCCATCAACAGCCAATGTAAAAATTTGTTGAATCTATCATGAACATGGACAATAGACGTTATAATGTTAATGCTAGGTCGTTGCCCGTAAGTAACGCGCTGCATGGCTCGAGTACAGTGATAAGTGAGTTAGAGCCGCTGCATCGGCGCCCGGATGTAGTGTTAAATGAGCAAGGGCTACCGCGTCATTCTGGACGCACGCGGCTAAAGAAGTTAGTCCATAAGAGCAAAATTAGATTTGGTACTTGGAATGTTGGGACATTAAATTGTAAATCTGTAGAGGTTGTAGGGGTTATGATTCAAAGGAAAATCAATATCCTTTGCTTGCAAGAAACAAAATGGCGTGGAGAAAGAGCTAAGGATATTCAAGGTTTCAAACTTTGGTATACAGGAAAAGTAAGTGCACGCAATGGAGTAGGCATCATTATAGATAAGGAGTGGAAGAAGAACGTTGTAGAAGTTAGCAGAATTGGAGACAGAATTATTTCTTTAAAAATGATAATTGGACGTGAGACTGTTAATATTGTTAGCGCTTATGTGCCGCAAGTCGGGACAGAAGCCAGTCTTAAGGAATTATTTTGGGAGGATCTGGAGGGGTTGATTCGACACATACCACAGAGTGAAAAGATTTTTATTGGAGGAGACTTTAATGCGCATGTCGGGAGGGAAGCTGGTCAGTATGCGAGGGTGCATGGTGGTTTTGGTTTTGGAGAGCTAAACAATGAAGGGCAAACTCTTCTTGATTTCTCATTGGCATATGATTTTAAAATTGCCAACACTTGTTTCAAGAAGAGAGATGAGCATCTCATCACTTACAAAAGTGGAGCCTCAAGGTCGCAGATTGATTTTCTTTTGGTTAGGAACACAGATAGAAAACTTTGTAAAAATTGTAAGGTGATCCCTGGAGATGCTGTAACGACACAACACAGGGTCCTAGTCCTTGATGTGTGTATTATGAGTAAAATCCAAAAACGTCGACAAGTAGTAACACCAAGGATTAGGTGGTGGCAATTAAAAGGTGAGAAGCAAGATATTTTCAAGCAAAATCTTTTGGATAAAGGAATTTGGGATTCTCAGGGAAGTGCTAACATCATATGGGAGGATATGGCTAAAAAGATACGGGAGGTTGCAAAAGTAGTTTTGGGAGAATCGAAAGGTTCTGGTCCGAGAGATAAGGAGTCTTGGTGGTGGAATAATAGTGTACAGGACAAAATCAAGTATAAGAAGAACTGTTTTAAAGCCATACATTTGTGTAACAATGAGGAAAATTGGGAGAGGTACCGTATGGCTAAGAAGGAAACTAAGAGAGCTGTGGGTGAAGCTCGTTCCAAAGCTTTTGAAGAATTTTATAAGAACCTTGAGACGAAGGAAGGAGAGCAAAATATTTATAAGATTGCCAAGAGTAGGGAAAGAAAATCAAGAGATCTAGAACAGGTAAGGTGTATTAAGGATGAAGAGGGAAGAATTTTAGTTACAGATGATGAAATTAAAAATAGATGGGAGACTTATTTTTCTAAACTTTTCAATGATGGAGAGGATTCATCTAGTAACTTGGAGGATTTAGTAACTGGTGAAGGAGAACAAAATTTGTCATTCTATCGAAAAATACGTGATAAGGAGGTAAAGGAAGCTCTTAAGAAAATGGCAAATGGTAGAGCTAACGGACCTGATTGTATATCTATCGAAGCGTGGAAATGTTTAGGTGAAGAAGGGGTGAGATGGTTAACTAAGTTATTTAATGTGATTTTACGGTCCAAGAAAATGCCTGATGAGTGGAGGAGAAGTACATTAATTCCTATTTATAAAAATAAAGGAGATATTCAGAATTGTACTAACTATAGAGGGATTAAACTCATGAGCCACACAATGAAATTGTGGGAGAAAGTAATTGAGCACAGGTTGAGATTGGAGACAAGTATTTCTGAGAATCAATTTGGTTTTATGCCAGGTAGATCAACTACAGAGGCGATTTATCTACTAAGGGGATTAATGGAAAAGTATCGTTGTAAAGATAAAGATCTACACATGGTTTTTATTGATTTGGAAAAAGCTTATGACCGTATACCAAGAGAAGTGCTTTGGAAAGCGTTGGAAAAAAAGGGAGTACGGATTGCTTATATTAAAGCCATACAAGATATGTATGAGGGGGTAAAAACTAGTATAAGAACGCCTAGTGGTCAAACAAAGGATTTTCCTATAAAGATTGGACTACATCAGGGATCATCTCTGAGTCCTTATTTGTTCAACTTGATTTTAAATGTTTTGACGGAACATATTCAAGAGGAAATCCCGAAATGTATGCTCTTTGCGGATGATATAGTTCTTATAGCAGAGACAAGAGAAGAGGTTAATTGCAAACTTGAGTTATGGAGGAGGACATTGGAGTCGAAAGGTTTTCGTCTGAGTAGAAGTAAGACGGAATATTTATATTGTAAATTTGGTAAAGGACTATTCGAAAATAATTTCGAAGTGAAATTGGGAGATCAAATTATACCTCAAGTGGAAAAGTTTAGATATTTGGGAGCCATTATTCAAAATGATGGCGAAATCAGTGGAGATATTTCACATAGAATTCAAGCTGGGTGGTTTAATTGGAGAAAAGCTAAAGGAGTTATTTGTGACCGTAGGGTGCCTAATAAACTTAAAGGAAAGTTTTATCGTACTGCTATCAGACCGGCAATGTTATATAGTAGTGAATGCTGGGCTCTAACGGGACAGCAAGAGCATAAAGTTGGAGTAGCAGAGATGAGAATGTTACGATGGATGTGCGGACATACACGTAAAGATAAAATTCGAAATGAGCACATACGTGAAAAAGTGAGGGTGGCACCTATTGAGGAAAAAATGGTAGAAAATCGGTTGAGATGGTTTGGGCATGTACAAAGAAGACCAAGGGAGGCACCAGTGAGAAGAGTGGAACATATAACTTTGAGTCCGATTAAGAGAGGTAGAGGAAGGCCTAAGAGAACATACAAAGATCTCTTAATAATATTTCTAAAAGCTTAATAAATGATAGAGCACAATGGCGTCTTGCAATCCATGTAGCCGACCCCACCTAGTGGGATAAAGGCTTGTTGTTGTTGTTGCTGTTGATGATGAAGTAAAGGGTTTGTTTTATTTAGTTTTGCAATGTACTCATTTTGAATATCCATAAAGATTATTTGGATAAGTTGCTCAGAGCCATTCTTTGTTTCTGAACTTTTACTTTGAGATCTATGTAGGTAGCGTAGTGAACTGGAGGAGAACATCAGATTCAGAAGCTTGATCAGACAGTAGTAAATGCAAATCCCAATCCAGGGAAAGGATCATAATTCTAAAAATTGGAGAGAAAAAAGAGCCTATGGTCATAAGGAAATTTGCTCAAGATCTGATCATGGAAAAAAATAAAAATAAAAATAAAACAGAGAACAAAAGGGGGAAAAAAAAGATATAATGGAAATCAGACTTTTCATTGAACTAGTGAAAGCACTAACTCAAGAGTTAATGATTAAACCCATAATTAACCATGTTTAAAAGCAAAGTATTTTATTAAATTGCTCAAAATATTAGCTCAATAATTTACCAGTTTAACAGACCGGGTTGACTCAGATTCTAAATCTACAAAAAATTGCATTGAACCCTTAATATATATGTATAGATATTAAAATAATATTTAATTACATAGAATTTTAAATGTGATGTTATATGATGATATTTCATGGTCAAACTCTATCCAAAGTCCTAGCATTGCACTAGAATTTGTATTTATCATTACTTTTTCCAATATGAAAATTCAACCCATGCGAAATAGCCTCTGCAAAGAAGGATTCTTCATTTCAATTTTCTTCTTACCAAGTCAATTTTATTTTAACTTGAATCTGCAGGAAAAAAAAAAAAAATTCTTCAATCCAGTTTCTTACCAAGTCATTTTTATTCTTATGTGCAGAATACAACTTTGACCTATTCTCTTTCTTTTTCTTCTAAGATGAATGATTTGATAATTTCTGTTGCCGTCACATTTGACCCATGTCAACGAAAAGAACATATTTTATATCCTGTCAGTTCAACATACAGATTTTACGTGGCCGTGCAAATAATTTAAAATAATCTTTATAATGTTGTTGACATTTACAAATTAAATCACATGCTAATTCGAAATTAAAAATTTTATTATCATTTAATTAATTCTTTAAATTACTAATTAAATTTTTATTAGTGTTATAGTATCCAAACCTTCAAAATAATTTACTCAAACCATGGCACTGGTAGTTGAATTTTTGTATCTTTAAAATCATATTATTCATAAATTTATAGTAAAATAATATGACATTCACTTTAAATTACCCAAAAATTTTATTTTTTATTTATATTTAAAATTTTATGATTATGAAAATGTATTTATTTAGTATCTTTTAAAAAAATTAATTTATAAATTGGCTAAAATAATATTTAAACACGCAATTAAAAAAATTATGAACTAAGAATTTGATATGATAAGTTACTTAATAAAATTTATGTTGATTTTTCTTTAAATTTCATTTACCTCAACACAAATTTTTTAAATTATTTATTTGAACATACATACTTAATCATTTAAATTTTCTAAAAAATTGGTAAAAAGAGTAGAAAATTAGATCATAAGGGAAAATTAATAATTATAAAAATTTTAACACAATTGCAAATAAAAAATTAAATATTTTAAAATATTTAACAGAATATTCTTAAAGATTTAAAGATTAGACTAAAATGTAAATTTTTAAAATAATTTTAGAGAAATGAAAAGAAGATAATTGTATTTTACTCATATATTTAATTCATTGTTTTAGTAACGGGGGTGAAAATAAAAATTAATCCCAATTAGCTTGTATTTTTGCGTAGAACTTTTATGAATTTGTAAAGCAAGAAAAAAGATTTGAATTATGCAATTTTGTTCTTAAGATTTTGCATCTTCCAGACCAAATAAAAAAAATCTGGTCTTAAAAAACTTATTAGATAAGTAATATTTTAATGCTAATTATAAGATATGAAAAATATATCTTACATAAAAGACCATATCAACCTATTTAATATATATTTTTTTAAAAAATGATGATTATTACATTTTATTCCTAATGTAATTACCTTATTTTTTTAAAAAAATTATTAATTTTTAAATTATATTATGTTGCCTCTTTGACTATGGATCTTCACCCCGGCACTACCTAACATGATGTGCTTTAAGAGGAAAATTGAACAATGAAGTGAATCAATCCAATGATTTATACTTGTGCTTCATTAGTATCTATGATAAGAATCAGTCCTCTAAAGCCAAGTTTCTTCATTGAGAGGTGGTCACTCCAAGAATAATCTTGGATTGAATGTGGATGTAGAGAAAGGAAAGAAGAGAGAGATAAGAGTTATTGAAACTATTTTTATTTTATTATTTCGAGAATTAATATTTTATAAAACATGTTTTGAAAATAAAAAATAATCAAAAATGTGTTTTTCTTGTTCTTTTTTATTCTTCAGAATAATAATTTTAAAATATCTGAAAGTTATTTTTATTTTTTTATTTTTTAAAATAATATTTTATTTTTTCTCTAAAACACTTTTTGAAAGTATATTATTAAATAAATTTTTTTATTCTTTTGTTTTAAAAAAGAGGAAATTGTTCCTATAATAAGTTGCCACCCATAATTGATACAGTTTAAAAAAACTAATGCAAAAGTGATTTGCAACTGTTTCTACTTTTTAAGGGAGAAGGGGTTGTGGAGCTTTAAATATCATTATTTCAAAAAATTGGTGTACTTTTTTAATAGAAAAATAATGAGGTTAGGTGCCAGTATAAGATTCCAGCACTCACGAAACAATTATGCATGTAACTACAAACTTCTTTTTTAATTACTTTTATGCAGATATATATTTCATTATTGTCAAAATTTTTACCATATATTTGGAATACAAATTTATAATTATGAATAAGAAGTTGAAAGTTAGGATAACAAACCCAATTTTGGGGCTAGAGGGGAAGTTAAAAAGAATTTGCTTATTATCAAAATCTTACACACACAAACGCACAAATATACATTTGCTTATTTTTTTTTCAAATTATAAATTTAAATTTAATTATTATTTTTTAAATTATAAATTTAAAATTATAAATAAGTTAACAGGAAGTTAGGATAAAGAAGATATATATGGGAGTTAGGTATTTATATTTATATTTTAAATAATAAAATATAAAAATATTAAGGACATGTGGTACCAACAGATTTAAGCTTGCCATTCTACTTTTATATATATATATATATATATATGAAATTTAAATAATAAATAATGAAACATAAAATATCAAGGGCACATGGCAGCACCTTGTCTAAGTTTGCAATTCTATTTATGTATTTATATAGATATTTATTAGAAATTTAGAATTATAATTAAATAAGTTAATGGGAAGTAGGAATAATTTCCTTATCATTTTTAAATTAGAATTTTGAATTTTCTTTATTAACTTTAAATTAGAATTTTGATGTTATGAATAAGTAAATAAAAAATTGAGATAGTGGGGAAATATTTGGGGATAAGGTAGTTTTATTTATTTTTAAAAAATAAAAAATTAAAAAAAGTAAAATAGAATTAGAGACACATGTCATTTCTAGATGCTACTTGTGGTTGTACTTATCTACCTATTTACTCCCTCCATTTAAAAATATATGGTATTTTTTAAAGAGTTAGATATTCATAAATGTAAGATATTTTAATCTTTTGAGGTTTAACCATTGCCTTTGTTCAAAAGTGCCTCCATTGATGAATAACTTTATATTTATTATAGGGTATTTAATAAGGATAAATATAAAAAGATAGGGTTAGTTTGAAAGTAAGTAACTACTTTATTGAAAATAAGATTCAATTAAAATATCTTACATTTTTAAATAGAAGGAATATCTATTATCATTATGGAGAATAATAGTCACTTCATTCTCTTCTTGTTATAGGACACAAGAATCTTTTGGCCCTTAATAGAAAACATATAAAGGGTTATTTACTATCATTTTTTAATTTTATCACTATTGTAAATTTAATTTTATGATTGATTGCATTCTATGTATTTCTCTTTTTTTTATTTTTAATAGGTATAAAATTTTAAAAAATTATTTTAAAACATATTTAATTAGTTTATTGTCATTTTTTAGTTCTAGTGAAGTAATTAAAATTATCTTATAATAGGGATAGGAAGAATACGTTTTAAAAGAATGAATTAATGATAGTTCGATTCTGACATAAATTTTTTTTAAAAAATGAGCTGCAAATATCAACTTAAAAAATTTATAATAAAAAATTTTAGATACAATTTGAAAGTTACATTAGAAACTAATTTTTTCAGTTACAATTAAAACTCTTAAATTTTTAATCATCTGAATTGATATTTTTAATTTATTTTTAAAATTTTTACTGTCATTTAATTGTCAACGATTCAATCTTTTGAAATTTAGGGCCTATTTGTTTTCTATTTTTTTAAAAAAACTGTTTTTTATTTTTAAAAACAAGAAAACTTTAAAACTTATTTAAATAAATATTTTTCATTTAATTGTTATCAAAACTATTTTCAATCTTTGTTTTTAAAAACAAAAAAAAACAACTTCAAGTTTTTTTTATTTTATTTTTTTATTTTTTAAATATATTATATTTGATCATTAAAAGTTATAGTTATCTTGACTAATTTTTATTATTAATTACTACTATTAGCTACATATAACCATCACTATTAATTCAGGTTTTAATTTTAAAACTGTGTTTTAATTGATATAACTAAACAGATTTTTATTTTATTTTTTTTAAAAATAATTTTAAAAACTATATTACAAAATAGTTTTTAAAAATAAAAAATGAGGGTAGAAACTAAACATGCTCTTAAACTGTGATTCTTCATTTTAATAATTTTACTTACAATTCCCTCCTTGACTTGTCAGAGCAGTGCAAAACAGAAGAAACAGATTACTTTACCAAACGAAATTGTCTTCCCTATTGATTTTTCAGAGTTCCCTTCTTGTTCTGACATTATATAACATGAATAAATACAACATTCCGAGGCAGAAGAAGATAAAAAGGGGGGGAAACAACCAAAGCTGTGTCACCAAGAAGGGGGGAAAATCAAAACAGAAATCATGTACGTGACAAGACCTCTTTCAATGTACATAAACCAACCTTCTGCACTATCATTGCCTCCACCAGAAGGTCCAAATTCTGGGATTCTGGTTCTGCAAGATGAAGAAGCCGACCTTACTTGTTGTTTTGGCTTGTGTAAAAGCAATCAAGTTCTGGACCTTCCTTTCCCACAGAACAAGGACTTAACTCTTCGTTATTCATCTGGTGGTTCAAATAAACACGGTGATCACTTTTATGCTTCTTTCGTACCTGTTCTCAATCTGCCCTTGTCGTCCAACAGATATTATCTGATGAAGACACATGGGAGACATAAAGGGTAAGCATATTTTTTCATCAAAAAAGGTTTTGATTGCATTTTGTTTTTTTAATTTTCAGTCTTTTTAACTTGATTCGTCTACAATGTTAGCTTTTATAGTTTTAAAAATGCACATAAGCATCATGAGTTGGTATTGAAGAGATTAATTTTGCTGATATATATTTAACTCTATTAACCCCTTTTCTTGTCATTATCTTCTACATCCAAATATAAGAGTTTTTTTTTTTTTTTTGCTCACTTAACTTTTATTTTTAATTTTAATTATACCGTCAATTTATTTTCATATCCACATATTTTTGCCATGTCAACAAAAGGGTTAGCATAAATGTTTTGTGTACCTACATTGGAAATCATTTCTGTACTTACCAAGTAAATTTAAACATTAGATGTGTCAGATAACTTTGATGATGAAGACCTCTATGGTAAACACAAGCACTTGAGTACGAATCAAGCCTATGTAATAAGATCGAGGGTTTGAAGCAAGACATGAGATTGCCTTCTCATTTTATAACTTATAAACTTGTCTATGTAGTATCAAAGTTGCACTATTCACAAGTTATGAATTAACAGTGACTTATTGCTCAAATTCTGTACAGTGCACGGAAAACATGTCTAATTTTACATTATACGAAGGAAATCTGACTAGTTAAAGCACACTAATCAAGCTGATAAAGTTCATTGCAAAGCACACAAGGACCAGAGTCTGAAGCATGTTATTGGAAAACATTTTGGCCCTATATTGCCTACTTCATTTGTATAATATTTCAATGACCTAAATGTTCAATCTTACACTGACATTGCAGGGAAGCTTTAACAAATTCAAGTGAGGAAGACATGACAAGCTGCTGCTTCTGCAACATTGTAAGTGATGTGCCACCACAACCTTTAGATCACAACAACACACACCAGCAATTTGAAGTCGTGAGGGTTGAAGGACTATTCAATCAATGGGGTCAATTTACAGCAAGATCAGTAGCACCAGATGGAGTGCCACCACGCTTTTTAGAAAGCAAAGGGTGGAGGGCTTACACTTCAACCCGGCAAAATTTCAATTTGGGCGAAGCACCGGGGCAAAACCCTTCCCTACGAGCTCGCCTTCCTGGTTTTGACTTCCCATTATCTCGCAAGAGTTCTGATGCTGTTGTTGTGGGAAAATGGTACTGTCCTTTCATGTTCATAAGAGAAGGAAGACTGAAAGATCAAGTTAGGAACTCAGCTTATTATGCAATGACCCTTGAACAAAACTGGGAACAGATTTTTGAATGTGACAGTACTTATTACGCAGAAGGCAATAATAACTCTGTAGCTGTGGATGTTAGTGTTCAAACAATGAGGCTTTCAGTAAGTGGAAATGAGGCTCAAGTTGAAGATGTGGCTAATGGGATAATGTGGTTCACAAGCCATGGCAATGGAGAGAATGAGGCTAGTAGAGTTGGACTGAGCATGGCAATAGTTGAGAGAATGAGATGGGAACAAGAGAGAGCTGGTTATGTTTGGGGGAATGAAAGACATGTGAGAGTGAAGAAGGTGGATGAACTTGGAGGGACTGATCATGGGTGGAACAAATATGGATGTTATGTTTTGGTTGAGAGGTTTGTACTCAGAAGAATGGATGGAAGCTTGGTGTTAAGCTGGGAATTCAAGCACATACATCATGTCAGAAGCAAGTGGGATTGAGTGGCTCTGTTATTCTTTAATCTTTAGAAGTTTCTCAGCTTCATTTCTTAGGAAGAATTCTTTCATTTGTTTGGCTGCTTTGTAAGTAACATTAAGAAAAACAATACTGAACACAAGTATTTTGGATGCTTATCTTTTGCGGATCAGACCTACCTGTGGAGTGTGAATCTTTCATATTGTCAAGTTTAGTCTTCCAAACAATTTGACATTGATGATACTGTATTATATTGTAGTTTGTAATTTATCAAGCAGGGTAATATAATATTTACTAGTTTCATTTTCTAGGCATAATTCTGAGTTGTGAGATGTCCTCTGCATCATTTGTAGAAATTTCTAACTCAATAATTCACCTTTCACATACAAATACATAAGAGAATATAGAGATAACCTTCTCTCTCATATAATCTTGTCTATGGGGGTGTTGAATAAAATTTTAGAAAAGGAAAATTACATCCAAAAACTTGAGAAAAAAGTTATTCAAAGATAAAGACTAATAATATACAAGTTCTATTTAAAGGAAAACAAATACATGTTTCTATTTTAACAACAATTCATTTCTTATTGATTCTTGTTTGTGAATAACTTTCTTTTTAGGTCCTTATATCTAATTCTCCCTTTAAAAAAGGGAATTGGATGGGGAATACACACCCCCATTATTTATCAAGAGCTTGCACTTGGAGGTTGTGTGTGTGTAAAGGGAGCTTGCTTGAAAACTGGTTTTTAATTTTTTTTTGTTTATTCCCTGTTTTATCGAAAATTGTAGAAGAGATCAGTTAATCTTCTGTCTTAAATTATTTTTTTATTGCTCATAAATATCTTTTTATTAGAATCAATATTGTTTGAGGCATGGTCGGGCATATGTGGGCACCTCTCTCTCCCAGAATTTAAACCTTAATTTATCATACTATGAGAAATTAACCCCCTTCATTAGACCTTATCCTAATTGGTGTCACTAAAATTAGTTTACATCCATTACCGTGTGAGAATTAAATTTAGAGAAAGAAAATCAATGGAAAGGGGTATTATATTTTAAAGTATCTCCTATTTAATATTAATATTTTTTGAACGGGTCGAAACACACAATGTAATAGTTAGAATATGATTGAACTGTAATAAAAAATCAGTCATGAATAAATTAACAAATTTTAAATAATATTTACTTAAAGTAACAAAACATTGTCAAATGTTGATATTTTAGTTTTATTTTTAAAAATAACAATAATTGATATAAAAAATAATCATTTAAAACTAATTGAGTTATGATTAGATGGATGAAAAGATACTTTATAAAATTAAGAGACTGAACTAAAATCTTATATAAAGTTAGAGAATTAAATATAAACATGATATAATTTAATTAAAATATAAAAAAATTCATGTATAAATATGAATACAGTAATATTTAAATTAAAAATTAATCCACAATAAATGAAATTAACATCAACATAATTTATGTATTAGATTAATTTGAGAGTTAATTTATGTTTTAAATCTTAAAGAACAAACGTGATTATTTAAAAAAATATAAAAAAATAAAATTGATAAAAATTAAATTTTAAAAAACTAATTTGATATAGTTGAAGCAAACTTAAAATTAAAAATTTCATTATCCTCATCCTATAATAATATTCTTAATTAAATTGGGCTTGTGCAAAGGGCCTTTGCAAGATTTTTTTTTTTAAAAAAAAGCTAGCTTCTGTTCATATCTGATGTACAAATTTCAATATCACGCACATGACTGAAAGCATTTGATTCGTCAAGTATTCAACTATGATCGTAGATAATGCTTCCAGTACATGTACATGCACAACGTTTCATTATTCGTTGTTCACATCTATTCATGTCTTTGTCAATAATAATCAAATTTCAAAACGAAATGCTTGGGGGTTTACCATTCTCATCCTGCTGACTTTTATTTGCCGAAAACATGGAGAAACAAGCGTAGCCTCCATGGAGGTTCCTGTATAATCATGAACCGTTTGAACAAGAAACCCCGCGTGAATATGCGACCAATCACACACAGATTTGACAATTCATGGAAACTTCCATGCAGCTTCATTGACACAAAATCATCAATAATACCATCAAACAAACACACAACCCGAACAATATATATAAATCTATCGTAGAACACCAAATATCAAGTTGATAAGTTCACAAACTAGGGAAGGGAGTGAGAGAGAGAGAGAGAGAGAGAGAGAGAGAATGTATGTGACAAGACCTCGATCTTTGTACAAAAGGGATCCTGGAGCTCTTTTGCATCAACCAGAGGGACCAAATTCAGGCTGCCTTGTACTTCAAGACCAAGAAGCTGAGACTTATGGATGTTTTGGTTTATGCAAGAAGGGCATCGGTAATCTTCCATTTCCACAGAACAGGAACTTAACAATTGATTATGCAGTGAGTACTGGACAAAGTAGTGTGGTGTATCAAGATGCAGTTATTTTCATTCCTGTTCTGAATCAGCCTTTGTCTTCTAATCGCTACTACGTCATGCTAAGGAAAGGGGAGCATCAAGGGTATGTCTCACTTTTTCCCCCTTTTCATTCAACACAAATATCTGATATAATAATAGGATAAAGCTCTTCTGTTTCACATATCCTGTGTGATATGTGATGAGTTATGTCCTTTCAATGATCATATTCTTAGTTCTGTGCATCTAGTCAATTGGTTTAACGCTTTTGTGCAGTGAAGCAAGCACATGTTCAAAAGAAGAAGACATGGGAACATGTTTGTGTTGCACCTACATCAAAGATGTCAAATCAAGGCCTTTGAATCCGTCTGGTGAATATCAACAATTTGAGATAAGGAAAACGAGATGGGGATTCCAAGGCAAGTCTATTGTCTCAGATGGGTTTGCTCCTCAGTTTTTGAGGAGAAAGGGTTGGACTCTGTCCACCAAGACACCACGCCATTACCAATTGGGTGAAGCTCTCGGCATCAACCCCGCCTTGAGAGCCCTGTTGCCGCCCTTCACCTTCCCATCATCATCGGATCGCTCCCAGCCGGTGGTTGTCGGAAAATGGTACAGCCCTTTCATGTTTATGAAGGAAGAAGGAGTGAGTGTGAAGGAGCAGATGAAGAGGTCAGTGTTCTATGAAATGACACTTGAAAGAAGGTGGGACAGAGTTTTCTCCAAGGAAAACAGTGGGAATAGTAATGAAGTGCTTGTGGATGTTGTGGTGAAAACTGAAGTTGCAGGGCTGGGAGATGGTAGAGAAGCTGTTTGGGAGGAAGGAAAAGTTGGAGAAGAGGGTGTGATGTGGTTTAAGAGTTTGGAGAGAGGAGAGAGAAAGGTAGGGTTGAGAATGGAGATTGTGGAGAGAATGAGATGGGAAGAAGAGAGAGCTGATTGGGAGGGAAAGAATCGTGGGAAGAAACAAGTGACATTTGAGAGAACGGAGAAATTTGAGGGATCAAGTGGAATAGTGTGGAGGAATTTTGGATTCTACGTGTTGGTGGAAAGCTTCGTGTTGAAGAGAATGGATGGAAGCATTGTATTAACTTGTGATTTTAGACACTCAAATCATGTCAAGTGCACGTGGGAGTAAACTAGCAATGATTGTAATATTTTTTGTATTTGATTTCTGAAGTGTTTGTTGATTAGTTATACAGTTTGGTTTAATTATAATATTATTTATTCTTGTACTCGTAAGTGGTTTGCAAAGAGATGTTGAATTTATGTATGAAGAGTTTGATTTAGTGGTTTGTAAATGATTTTGATATTCCATCTTACTGTTGTATTAATGTATTAATTGCAGAAGTGATAACCTTCTCATAGATATAACAAAGCTAAGCATCTTCTATCTCCGTTCCATATGAATTGGCTTATAAAGTAATTCAAATTAATAATTTGCAAGCTGGTTCTATATTTATGTCAAACCAGCCTTGATCTTGTTCAGTTTTATCGAGTAATGCCAATCCAGTAGACCTGTACACGTATGATTATTTACGTCTATTCAAAAAATAGAAAATTATCAGTTGTCTATCCAGTGAATATGAAATAAGAATCATTCATCATGAAGCAGAGGAAAGGATACCCTCTGTTTCTCACAGATTACAAAGATTGGTTTTTCACCTTCAGATAGTGTTCTCATCTTAATTCCTGACATCTAGTTAGTGGTCAATCATTATGGGGAGGATCATCGCTTCAAGGATTTTCCGTACAGTGAAGCAAGCACATGATCAAATGAAGACGACATTGGAACATGTTTATGCTGCAATTACATCAAATATGTTAAATCATGACCTCTATATCACTCTTATGAATATCAACAGTTTGAAATAGTGAAAAAGCGTTGGGGATTCCGAGCCAAGTCTATGGCCCCATATGGGATTCCTCCTCAGTTACTTAAAAAGTATAGAAAAGGGTCTCAAAATTAAAATTACAAAACAGGATCCATAAAATTATACATAAATACCTAAAAATCAATATCAATTAAATCCTCTAAATTATATATCAATAATAAGAAACAAATATTATTTCTTAGTCATGTAAAATATCAAGATATGATTTGGACCAACCAATTTAACTAGTTACTGGTAATTAACAGATCACAATTGTGGGAAATAACACTAATAAATAATTCAAAAAATCATATTTATTTTCATAAAATCATATTAAATTAACCAATTTAATATATATAATAATTTAAATAATATTATTATAATTTACAAATATTCACACACAATTTATAATTTAACTATTGAGATTTACACATTCTCTAAAAATTTACAACTTAACCAGTATATTTATTATTTATAAATAAATGTATTTTTTACACTAGCAATGAAACTTGAACAAAACTGGGAACAGAGTTTTGAATGTGACAGTACTTATTATGTAAAAGCCAATGATAACTCTTTTTTTTTTTAAAAATGAAAAACTGAAAGTCTTTTACAAAAACATTAATAGAGAGAACACAAGCTTACAAAATCAAACTAAAAGTCAACTTTTATTATTCTCCATCTCATGGAGTAACAAAAGTTGGAGGATGATCAAAGATTTGATCACAAACGGAGCTATGACTATGAACTTTCTAAGTTAGAAGGTCAGCAAAAAAAGTTAGTATCCCTATAGGCTAAATTAGTTGATATATTCCAATCTCTATGTATAGATTCAAAAGTTGAAATAATAATATAATGTCCCTAAATGGGTGCTGTTGAGTAACCTCCCTTGTAATAAGGCTAACCACCTCAGCACAATTAGTGTAAATTTTGATTTTTCAAAATCCCTTCTCCCAGCAAATATCCAAACCTTTAATTAGACCATATATTTCTACAATCACAGGTAGGTAGAAAGGAAGCTTACTACAAAAACCAAATGTCCATTCTCCATCCATTGTGGCTGGTACTCCCCTATAAGAGCTTATCCCATTCTGTAAAATTGAACCATCAATTGATAGGTATAGCAACTCCACAACATCACCATTATTCTGATTTAGAATTTTTTGTCCTACTTCATTTATGTTTGTCCCTTCCAAAAGATGCTTGTTGTAATATCTGGAATTTTTAAATTCAAACTTAATTGCCAATTAAAGAAGAATTAGTAATAGAAATGATTAATTAGGTCAATCATGTTTTTGAATTGTTAATTGGTATTTTAATCATAGATAGCTTTAATATTAGGCTAGGGTGAAAGTTACATTGAATCAAGTTTGAATGACATGAAGCAATTTTAAGAGTTACTCACTGTGCCATATGTCATGGGATATGGCATAGATTCATCATGAAGTTGTGAAAATCATTAGAAAAATAGAGTCGAATGTTGGGAAAACTTGGAGCTTGAAGGAAGGAAGTGGTAGCTGTGCTAATGCTTTATTTTGGGTAAGATTAGAGGCTTGTTTGGACTTTCAATTATCCGATTAAGCTTATTAACTCTTCATTCTTCCTCTCTACCTTGATTTAAGTGGGTTTTAGATTTCTGAATGAGGGTTTGTTAAATTCAAACCCTAAGGCATGCATGTGACTTAAGGAGCTTGATTTAAGGTGTATGGAGTTAAATAGGTGGACATATGTGGGTGCACTATTGAGTGAAAGAGGATGGATGAATTCTAGGCTGGTTGGGAGTTTTGAAGTTGTGTGAGCTAAACTTAAGTATGAATAAAACTTGTATATGCTAAATTAAGATAAGGTAATATTGTAGAAGCTTTAACTAGCTTAATGGTAGAGATTTGGATTGTTAAGTAGCTAAATTAAAGGCCGTGGCTCAAGTCCAAGCACTTGAGGACAAGTTGCAAGAAAAAAGGGAGGCTATAAAGAAAGAAGAGGAGAAATCAAAAACAAGTGAGAAGCCTAAAAGACAAGAGAGTACCATGAAATATTCCACCAAATTAGACTTAAAGAAGCTCATTCCCTCTTGTTTAGAGACACTTACCTTGGAGTTGAAGCCTTTACCATCCAATCTCAAGTATGCATATCTCATTGAGAATGAGAAGCTTCCGATAATAATTTCTAACTCTTTATCTCTTCAGGAAGAAAATGCATTGCTTGATGTGTTGAGAAAGAACATACATGCTATTGGTTGGACTTTGGCTGACATTCCTGGTATTGACCCTATTGTGTGCACACATAAAATTTTTCTTGAGGATAATGCTAAGCCCATTAGGCAACCACAAAGGAGACTTAACCCATTGATCTTAGATGTGGTAAAGAAAGATGTTGTCAAGCTACTTAGTGCTGGGATCATCTATCCTATAGCTGATAGTGAGTGGGTGTCTCCAACCCAAGTTGTACCTAAGAAAGGGGGGATTACTGTGGTAAAAAATGAGAAAAGAGAGCTTGTTCCAACTAGAGTTCAAAATGCTTGGAGAGTGTGCATAGACTATAGGAAGCTCAATAATGTGACTAGGAAGGATCATTTTCCTTTGCCTTTTATTGATCAAATGCTTGAGAGATTGGCTTCCAAGTCCCATTATTGCTTCCTAGATGGGTTTAGTGGGTATTTTCAGATTCCTATAGCTCCTAGTGACCAAGATAAGACTACCTTTACATGCCCCTTTGGTACATTTGCCTATAGGAGGATGCCTTTTGGTCTTTGCAATGCACCTGGTACTTTTTAAAGATGCATGATGTCCATATTTTGTGATTTTATTGAACATTGCATGGAAGTCTTTTAATTTAGCTAGTAGGAATGTAACCTCCTGAATTTCAATCCAAGAAACTAGTTGATAATTAGGGGTAAATTAGTAATTAGTAGATTAATTATGGTTTGATTGTTGGATTGATGTTTTGTGTTTTTTGAATAGTATGATAAGGGGGCTAAGTAGTAGAACTGTGATTTGAGATATAACACCCGAGCACTAGTGATATTAGTCTCACTGTGCCATAAGTCGCAGCATATGCTGCATGCATTGTAGCTCATGACACATATTTTATTTAAACTTGGCATTTTTAGCTCATGAAATTAGAAGAGCAAAGAAGGAAAAATGCACTAAGAGAGGAGAAAAATCTTGTCTTTACTAAGGTATCAATTTGTAGGAGTTTTAAAGTTTGCTTCGGCCAATGACTTATCAGGTAAGTTTCATATCGCCCTGTTCTATGTTTCTATGCTAATTTCTTTAACTCTAGTTGATAAAGAAATTGAATCAGGAAGTTTAAAGAGTTAAAATCTAAAGAAAAAGATTAGAAAGGGCTTTTAGGTGTGAAACTAAGGTTTTGAGACTAGTCTGAAGTTGAATGGCTGAATTTTAATGATAAAGGCTTAAACTAACCTAAGTTATTAGGTTAAAAATGGGAAAATTTGAATAAACAAATGAAAAGGGGAAAGTTTTGGTCATTTAGATAGCCTAAGGGGAAAATGACTATAGAAAATGAATTATCTAGACTTAAAAATTGTTAATTGAACTGTTTCATGTATTAGGAAATTTGACTAAGCCGAATTAGTACTTGTGCTGAACGTTGAGAGTTGATTAAGGAATGTTTCTTGTGTAGATTCAGCATTTGAGAAGTTCTTCATGGGAATTTACACCCTTGGGAGTTAAATGTGAGAGTGATAACCCTTAGTAATGAAGGTAAAAAATAACTGGAGTAACTCTTTTACTTGTTCCTTTGTGAAATTATTTATAAGTATACATATTGTGTGAAAGAAATATGCATACGGGTGTGTGAGTGATGTTTGAAACATATGTAAAGAGCAAATGCATTTGTATCCACAAGTATACCCTAGACTAGGGTGGGGGTGACGACCTTACTCTGTACAAGGTTAGGAAGTCCTGAAGGTCTTAAACATAAAGCTTGCTCCACCAAAAAGGACTTAGGAGAATGATCTACAAGTGTACCCTAGGCTAGGGTAGGGGTTGTGGTCCTATTCTTTGTAAAGCTAATAAGTCCTGACAGTCAAGTGTTGAGTATGCTCCGCTAGTGAGGACTCAGGAGACCACCCATATTGATGATACCTAGTTTGAGATAGTGGTTTGGTGGGCCCTATTCAAGTAAGGCTAGAAGTCTCGGTTTGAGTATTGAGCTTGCTCTACTAGGGGAAAGAGAGAGTACATGAGCATTGTAGTAATTGTAAATGATAACTTGTGAATGAATGCTTCTATTATTTTATTAAAAATAATGTTGCTTTATTTATTGTTGATGATTTTACTTACTAACCAGTATTAGGGATTTATCCAAGTTACTAAGACATATGTCTCACTCCATTACCTTTACTATAGGTGAATAAAGTGTAAGAAGGTCAAGAAAGGAAGCGAGGAAGGATTAGCTTTTCTTTAATAG